AAGCCATAAAACGGTTTTAAAGGCTTTAAAAGCAACTCATACACAGCTCATCACCTGAGTGCAATTTTATCTTTAGTTTTAAAAAATTTACAAGTGGACAATGATCCACCTGTTTTAGCCACAGATATCACATTGATTTAATGTAACTACTGAGGTAACAAAACTTTTTGATTTGTAAACAGCATATTCCTTATTTTGTAAAGAGAAATCATCTTAAATGAACAAAGCACCTACTGACTACCACTAGAGGGGATTTTGCATGACTTTCAATTTCCTGTTTGGGTTAAAACAGGAAAATTTCTGTCTGTTATTATCTTCCTCTCGATCTCACTCAACATGCAAAAATATCTCATCATCTCGCTTTCACCCTCGTTTGTTGCCCTCAATTCCTGTCAGCCAGACATCAGTTATCACACTGTTAGAAGTCGACTAACTTCTTATCTGACAGTCTGACTTTAGTCACTCTGACTTTGTAACTGCGTCAAAGCATTGTGTAGTGTTTCCTTCTTTTCCTGCTTCAGTGATAGTTTTTGCCATTTGACTTTAAAAGGTTTTAAATGTTTAGCGTAATACATCTCACTCTAAGATTCCTCTTTATCTACCAGAGCTAACTCATCGGTCAGCACTGCCTCTTCACTGTTGTGGCTGGAACGTCTGTCATCCAACTCATGGGTCGACACTGCTTCTGCACTGTTGTGGCTGGAGGGTCTGTCGCATAGCTCATCTAACTCATGGATCGCTATTGCCTCAGTGCTGCTGTGGCTGGAACGTCTGTCATCTGACTCATGCATCGGCACTGTCTCTGCATTGTTGCCCATGGGATGTCTGTAGTCGAGCAATATAATGGCCAACCTGTACAAGCTCAGTGTGATCACTAGGCCGTTCTTGATGGCAAAGAAACCAAGCATCTGGTGGAGGACTCTGAAGTGAATAATGACAGTCAGCCTGACCAACAGAAAAGGCCCATCCTGGATAAAGAGGGTCTCTATTATACTCCAAATATCAGTGCTGTGTTTAATAAAGAAGTTTTCCCGGACAACTTGATCTTCTCCGCCATTCTCTTCATCAGATTTGGTGTTCACCACTATGTTGAATAAGAAGAGGAAAAACAAATGATTGACAATAAAAATGAAGCTTTCCTTCAGGTAGCTGCATGTAGTTTGACAGATGTCACATTTGGGGTTTTTTAGAACAGCTTCTCTCGCTTTTTTTTTAAGTGTGAAATTTACCAAGCTAATCTAGTAGAGTCCAAGAATAAAAATATGGTCTGAATATAACATGTCTCCTTTTAATTTAGAACCTGAATTAGGACACAAGTATATGGATTAACCAAAGGTTAGAGTGTTTTAGTGAGGATGATACAGGAGGAAACCTTGGATAAAGGTGACACTAATTCAGAAATAGTCTTAACAAGTTTTTTAGCCACCCAGGTCAAAAGTATTTTAGCTATGACCAGGAAGAAGGTTCCCGGTGAGCAGAAACCTGGGGAGCTAATAATAATTATTATTAACAAACCAGAGCATAAGATATCCTTAAAGTTAGAAACTTATTATTAGAATAACCATTTACCTATTAAAAAATAGGAAATAAAGACTCGAGATCACAAAAACTGAGGTTGAAAATTTCCTGTAACACTTTGAAAACACATCAGGTCAAAATGAGAAAAAAATCATGCTGATATCTACACTGATATATACTGAGTAATGTGATGGGAATGAAAGGATGCCACATTGTTTGATGGAAATGGAAACCTACAGGGGGCTGGATTCAAAGACACCCCAGAAATCAAAGTAAAAAAATGTTGTGAGGAGGCTTGTCTATTTTGCTGAAATTATATTGCAGCAACAAAAAATGTGAGGGAGTAGTATTTATGGCCCTCCGAAGTGCTTCTGTGGATGCCTGACAACATTGGGACATGCTCCTAAAGAGACCACGGCATTACTGCGCTCCTAGACAGTCTGAGGTGCAACTTGGTAGCATCAGATGGGCAAAAAAATAAAGTCCCAGAGATGTTGCATTGGATTTAGTTTATGTGAGAGTGGGGACAAGTCAGTGATATCAATCCTTGATCCTACAGCAGCTGCCTACATACTCTCGCCACATGGGGCATGAGCTGTGTTGTGCACTAGGAGGAACCACACCAAAGCAGCTGAAAACTTATAGCCTGCTACCTAATTCCTTTAATTTAAGTCTCGGGAAGTAAAAATGTTTGAGTTAGTCATTTAAAAGCACCGAGGGCTGTAATTTCAACTTACTTGCTGCACTTATGTACTTAACTGTTTACTTACTGGACTGGCTTGGATTTTTAGGGAATTTCTAAACACACTATTAAGATTGTTTGTCTTTTTCATGACCGGGGAACAGGAAAGGAACTTCCTTACATTGTTGTAGCTCCTTAATAATATTTTAAGGTAGCTGACCTGCTAGATGTAGTGGAAACTGCAACATACTCCAGGTCCATACAGCTAAGATGACATAAACCATGGCAGGATTTTTTTCTCTGTAAGAAAAGTGACACCAATATCAGGAACTATATATGCATCTGCATACATTAAATGCAGACTTATGTCTCGATAGGAGAAGCACATTCTTAACGTACAAGCAACACGATTAGCCCCTTACTTTACATCTGACAGCGTCTCACTAGTAAATTCCAGGATGTCCGCTGCAGTGCCAACAAAAGTTAGAAGAAGCTGAGACAACTCATCTTTTGTGACCCCGCCTCCCAAAGGCAGGAGCCACTTCCCCACAATGAGGAGGATGAGCACGATCTGGTGAAGAGCCAGGATCCAGTCATTTGCGCAGACGGTGGACAACCTCTGCTCAGTATTTAAGAAAAGGAAAAAAGATGGCAAGATGTTTAATGTTGAAAACTTGGTTTTCTGAGAAGGTTAAATCACTTCACTCAAAAAGCCATTTGGGATTTAATCTCATCTCTGTCCTTTCAGTAAACAACAGTGAGCCACATGATAGTTTATGACAGTTTCCCACACATACAATTAAAAGCAGTTCTACAGAAGCATTTGAGTATAAGTAACCTGAGTCACAGTACAGGTAATATGTCATATGACCTTGCTGTAAATAAGAGAACCTGAGTTCCTTTGTACAATTTTTTAGATTATTATTTTCAAAATAAATAACAGAATAGTGGAGAAACTTATTAAATAAGTTTAAAAAAAGTTTAAATGTCTGCACTATTTTCTTGGAACTTGCGCTAAACATTTTTAAAACTCTTCGTCAATATTGAGACCCAGGCTCTTATTTTCTAAAAATGATTCCTATTTCTCCAATTAGTGGGCACTTTGTGAATTATTTAGCTCTTAATGCTGCATCTTTGTCATCAATCTGATGATATTTGAAATGATGGAAGTAAGAGAGACTGTCCACTTTATGCTTTACTGTTTTCTACTTTTCTTATTAAGAGTACTAAGTGAAAAGGCACTGGAATTTGGATGCCGCATTTTGGATAGGTAGCTAAAATAAATTCGTTTTTGGGTTTTTTAAGTGTGACAAAAATGCATTGTTCCTGCAGGTGGAGTGGATCAGTTGGATTATTTTATTAATTTCCAGTCAATCTTAATGCATGAATGAAAAATGAAAAAATCAGAGCATAAATAGCAAATAGTTTCACTATGTGTTCAGTCCACACTGCTGCTTAAACAGTTTCCAAGAACTAAATAATGAAATCATCATTAATCATTTTTATTTTACTTGAGTTGCTTAAACCTTTTCTGCTGCTCTTTCTGGCTTTCTTAAAGAGAAGTCACTATGAAACAGTCAACAAGCTGTTAAGTGTCTTAACATAAAGAAATAACAACCTTTACAGTGGTAGTTCAGCCTTCTTAGCAAAAGACCAGAAGAGGAACAATGCCACCAGATGTTATTTCTGTAGTAGGTTATGTCAGTCTGCCCCAGGGCAGCTGAAATGTTTAGCGTAATACATCTCACTCTAAGATT